GCGTCTGATCATGGGAAATGTTCACCTCCTGATTTTCACACTATGGAGCCTCTTTTCCACAGGTGCGGGCACACCTCGGCCAATGGCTGTGGGCAAACTCTGCCGCCTGCCAATTTGATTCCATGGTGCCTCCCTCTATGTGGAGGGCAGTACTATGCGGGATTCGGGTCAGGATGTACTATGTGGGATATGGTTTGGGAAGCAGCACGTGGGACAGCTTATACTATGTGGACAGGGAGGTATGTGCAGGGGCATAAGTGGGCTGAGTGGCACTATGTGGGATGGGTCATACCATGTGCCTGGGTAGCGGGTTGTCCAAACGGCTGGTCCTTCAAAAAAAACACCCAAAACCCAAGTCCATGTGGGTGAGGTGGTAAGGGCATAGGTGTGGGTTGGATCGGCAACACTACATGGAGTGGGGTGTCCAAACGCCCGACACTTCTTGCTGCATACTGTGTATCTGGTTGAAATCAAGGCTGGTTTTACAAACCTTCTACCTCGGTAAACTGTTGACGATTCTGCAGGGGCGCTGCTGAATTACTGTGCACTGCGGATTTCCTGTTGAGCGTTGGTAATACCAACTCTTGGTACCTCCAGTTGTGGCCCTCTATCTGTATCTAATTGTAGTTCCAACTTCCAAGGATAGTTTTTCATTTCAGCAGTGACGAGTTGCTGGATTGCCTGTTGAGCTTCTGTAACTGTTCGGCGTGTTCGTTGTTTGTTTTCAATGTATTTGCTGGTAAGCAAGGCTGAATTCATTAAGCTTCTGCTATTGCTCCTGTAGGATTTGTATGAGGATGGATGTCATAACAGGTAGCATCTCTTGATTGGTTGGATGTTGGTAGTATTTAGGTGCAAATCTTACAATCGGGCCATCCCTCTCTTTGTTGGATTGACTCTTTCAAGCCCTGGGTCTGGCCGACGAGTGAATTTAGGGTAGTGCATCTGCCCGCATCTTCAGGACAGACCGTACTGAAGGCCGAATTATCTGTTAGTCAATGAGTAGTCATTCCCTGAGCTGCCGTGTTTGTGGTTAGTCTGTTGGATTGAACCTCTTCTGGAAAACACTTTCTCTGTCCCCCACTTGTGACTTAGCATCTACAGGCAGTGGCACTATGGAGGCAGCGTGAGTGCCACCGTTAGTGGTGGGAGCGCTATAAGCTTGTAGTCAGCTGAAAGGGGACTAGGAAGCAAACTTGAACTGTATCCATAGTGATCCTCTTCATTGATTGTTGCTCTTGTTGAGGATCCAAGGATGCGAGGTGGGAAACCCGTCTAGGCGGTTCAGGCTTCCTTCAAGTGGAATTCCATTTCACAACAAAAAATGTTTTTCAGAAAGTATTTTGTTGCTAAATAGTACACTTGGTTGGTTTAGTCTTTTGGTTCTACTTTTGTTAGGTTGAAATTTTTCTTTCTTCTTGGAAAACACGTTACCCATCTCACACTCATAATGACTACGGTCTTGTAAGGCAACACCGCATCTACAGGCAGCGGCACAACGGAGGCAGTGTGAGTGCAGCCGTTAGTGGTGGGAACGGTATTGGCATGTAGACAGCTTAAGAGTAGCTAGGAAGCAAACTTGGACTGTATCCATGGCGATCCTTTTGTCAATTATTGCTTTATTTAGGATCGAAGGGTGCGTGGTGGGAAACCCGTCTAGGCAGTTCAGGCTTCCGTGAGGCTGGCTAAAGTGGGTGTTTGCTATGGGATGCTGGACCCGGTTTCCGGCAGAGCCGAAGCTGGGTAATGGCCCCAGTACATACCGGGTAGAATTGTGAGGTGCCCAGCCTCGAGTGGATTCCGGAAAAAAAAAAAAAAAAAAAAAAAAAAAACCGCCCGGCCTTTCCAAAGAAAAAGAAAAAAAACAATACCCCCAAGTCCAAGTGGCTGAGCTCGTAAGGGCATAGTCCCACCAGCACGTTGGAAACTGTATGTAAGTCCAATTCCAGCCCGACGTGGATGAATCTGACAACAATCACTTCGCGAGCTTTTCCAAAAAGAAGTCCTAGTGCACATATGTCCTAAGATCACTATGGATCTGACTGCAATCACATCCAGAGCTAAGCGGGTACGAAACGACACAACTGGCAGCCAGGGGAATCACACGACTGCTATGTCCTCGTATTCGAACATCTGCGAGGGCCCGCTATCCGGAAAACTAAACAGCGTGCAAAAAAAGCACTTCACCCTGCACAGATTCGATCCCATCGAAACCTGTGCGTAAAAAACAAAACTGGCAGCCTGAGGAAACGGGACACCACTGGGACAGTCTGGGCCCAGTTGGGAGCGTCTTGCAAGACCCTCTCCACAATTTAGGAGTCATAGTAGAAGTACAAACTGATATTCTATTCAACCTTGAGCTCTTGTCCTGATCCCTCATCCGCTTGCCAACATTTTCTTTCAATCATGCCCTCACTCATGTTATACAAGCTCAGATCACAAAGACGTAAACTGGCACCATGGCTTTTTGCTGTGCTACACATGTGCACAGCCAACCATGACTAGCCGTCACTGCCATCTTTACCCGAATAGAATGCCTGGTCATTATATCTGGCATTTTGTGCAATTTTCAGTCTAAATACAGTATAATGACCTGGCGTTCTATTCGGGGGAAGACAGTGGTCAATTCACAACAATGAACAGTGACTCCTTTTCCCAGCTCGGGCTAATCCTTCGCTAAAACGGTCCGTTAAGGCTTCAGAATATTACTCCTACACCAAAGATGAAAGCCTGTGACCGAATCCAATGGACTATAATGACAATTCACCCTAATATGGGCAGGGTTGCATACTTCCACTCAATATTCCCTAACAGGTTAAAAGCCCCATGCTCTACCAACTAAGCTATACACCCAGAATCCAGATAGGCTTAGTGGTTAAAAAAATAAAATGAAAAAATCAAGATAGGCTTCATAGGATTTGAAAAGTGAAAAAAAAAGAAGAAGAAAAAAAAATCAAGATAGGGCCTTAGTAGGATTTGAAAATTGAAACCCTCTTTGTGTGATGATACGTTGAATTGTTCCGATCGAGTGGAACTCTGCATTAAAATCTTTCTCCTAGACAAAGGATTGAAGACTGTGCCGGAATTCAAACGACAAGAATTACGGTTCCCCCACAATACAGGCTAATAAGACACACATACTGCCACTTGATCAGCACAATTCAAGAATGGCACCTGCCGCTGGTTAACAACTTGACGTCCTTTCTTCACTCTTTGCTTCCTTCTGCTCCTTTTTTCCTGCTTCCTCCCTCATGAGCTCTTGCGTTCGCTGGCCTACTCAAGTCTGCACACTTGAATGCTGGAGCCGCAGAGTCGCCTACCAACAACCCACCACCACTCTTGTGTGAGTTCTTAAACCATCAATACTTGAGATGCTTCTGCGGTCCTCTGTGGGCCCTTGAATGCATCTTACCATGAATGAGTTTAACTGGGCCCAGGCAGGCCCATATGTCCCTGAAACGCTGGCGCCTTTACCAGCACACATTGTCTGAGTACTACTGCTGCTGTGAAGCACACAGTGCGGCGAATCCTCAGTTCCCAAACCTACTTTTTGGGCACCCGAGCAAATTGGATCGGTCCCCAGCAGTCCGGGACGTTAAAGTGCGGCCTCGGCCTCCTTGTACACTGCCACAAGCGTCAGAGGAAGGGAGTTGTACTTGTGGTTTAACTAACATACATGATGATTGCTCAGTTGAAGTTGCATCCCAAACACAGGGACACAACTGTAGCTTTGATGGATTGCCAACGATGAACTCATCCGCAATTAGTTCCGACTTCTTTACAGTGGACTTCCACCTGCATACGATATCATTGGCAGTATTAACGGGTGTTCTGACGACGTGCCAATGTGACTGACGCAGTGCAGGATGTTCCCACCATTCCTACGCTGCCTCGCCTTCTTTTCCTCTTGTCCCATCATCCTTGTCTTCGTTGGTGCTGTGCGTTCAGGAAATACTCACACCATCATGAGTGCAACCGATGACAAGAGATACCAACTCTTGTTGCTGTGAGCATGGTCCCACTGGGTCCACTCAACTTCACTGCGACTCTAGGCTCCCCTCGTCACTTCCACGTTCTCTCTTCTTCAATCTCTTCATCAGCCTCCTTCATTTCTTCCATGTTCTGTTCTTTGGCCTCCTTCGTACCCATTCTCACCTTTTGAGGGGCTTCTTCATCCATGCTCCAGCGAGAAAACCTGAAACTTTCTGGGAATGGTGGCGAAATCGTCATGGCATGCCTAAAGGCAGGGTCATACGAAGATGGAAATGGTCAACTCAGGTTCTCGGGGGGTGCACTGGTCTTCCTTTCCCATCTTTTTTTGCTTGAGGCTTCGTGGAGCAGTCGTTGTCAAGTCTGATCACAGGTCATGAAGTGACATTGAAGTCCACCTCCTTGGCTCCCTGGGTCCTGACTGATATCAAGTCTGTGGGACTCGATTTCGCACTTCTTCCAGAAGTGCGCTATAAGGGGGCGCAAGTCCAGAGAGGAGAATTTATGTGTCCGCGGAGTCAGGGCGATACGTATGAAGACCATGCCGAATATAGTCAATTGCGTACATCCGGTTCAGACAATGATGAATGTATTTAATCTCATAGATTGTGACATTCAGTCAGACCATGCTGAATGTGTTCGGCCGCATACGTCACATTCAGTCGAAATGATCCTTCTGTGACTATTGCATACAAAGTCCAGTTTTCTCCTGGATAGACCAGCCCTGCAGAGTACAGCATGACTACCGTGTTCACCCGATTACAATGCCCAGTCATTATCGCCGCACCTGGACTGAAAGCTGCTCCAAATACAGCTATGATGACCTATTCGGGTGAAGACGTAACCCTCTGTACATCAGTGCGAAGAGAGCCAGACACCTCCCATCCTGCCAGGATGTCCTGCCTCATGCTGTCATGGGCCTCTCGTTGCGAGTTACCCGTGTCAGAACACATTGAAGCCACTGGCGCCCCCCCCAGTGGACCCCACTGGGAAAACTCCCTGTAGTATTGTTCAAGTCAGGCTCGCATGTAACAACTAGAAGGGCAGCGGCAAACTTTCCTCCATCTTCTTCAGATACGCTTGCACCTGTGATCCAACATGCCATTGCAATTTCTATGTCAGTGTGCTCAGTTCGTTAAAACTTATAAATCAGTGCCATTGATAAATGACTCAAGGAAATCTCTCTCTCTCTCTCTCTCTCTCTCTCTCTCTCTCTCTCTCTCTCTCTCTCTCTCTCTCTCTCTCTCTCTCTCTCTCTCTCTCTCT